CGACCTCAGCACAAGCTGCCCCAGGAACTCTGGATAAGAGTTAGTTTGGGGTATCCTTGGGGATGCAGAACTCTTGTCCTCTGTCCTTTCCTGGGGTCCACAGCACCAGGAGGCAGGGAGCTTTTTCATCTTGGCCACCCTCACCCCCAACAATATAGCCATCTGCCCTCCCTTGTACACCCTTTCGCCACCACACACACACTCGTGGGGGTGTTGGGGTGGGGGCAACTATGTGAAATGCTTTACCGTGCCCAGGGTGACGGCTGGCACAGAGAAACATAAAACCCAAGGTTCAGTCACCAGTGGGACATTCTGCCCTACTCAGACTTATAGGTCTATGCCTCGTAATCTCTTCCAGAAATTGCTCATTTCACCCAAGGGAGCCAGGCCCTCCTGTACTCTTTTATTGAAAGGTCACAGTGACTTTCAACATCTTTGGTCATTGGCAAAATGGAATCTTGTGTGTGCTCTTGGTCTGTCCTCACTTTTAAGTTGAAATACTTTTTTTTTTTTAAAGATTTTTATTGGGGAATTGGGGGGATGGGAACAGTGCTGGGGAATTGGGGGAAGGGGAACAGACAAGTTGCTGTCCTTTTGTTCTTCAGTCTAGTTGTGGAGGACGTTGCTTCACTGGCCCAAGTTGGCACCATCATTGCGCTCTTCCGGGGCGAGGCACATCAGTCGCCGGCTTCCGGACGGCCGCTCACGCTGGCTGCTGGCTACACACGGTAGCCCATGGCAACCCACTGCCGCAGGGGCTGCAGCCTACGCCGTTGCCGGGGACTCACAGCAGCCCAGCTCCAGGTCGAGCTGTTGATCAACATCTTAGCTGTAGAGGGCAGTGTCACTGGCCCTCATATGTGGGATCCGAACCAGGGCCCTCTGGCATCCCAAGCCAGTTCTTAACCATCACGCCACTCGGCCGGCCCTTGAAATTCTTTTTAAGTTGAAATTCTTTTCCTTGCAGCCCCCCTACCTGCTTTGGTAGCAGTTCCTGCCTGAAGAGGGCTCTTTCTGTTTAGGGCATCCAGTCCCCTCTTTTCTAAACTTCCCTTCACAACCTTGCTCTAGGATCCCTAGTTCTGGATATCTCAGAAGGAAGTGGTGCAAAAGATTGACATACAATTAGGCTCAGCTCATCTGAAAACTACTCCTAAATTTAAGTGAGTTTAAAAAGAAATTTAAAAAGTATGCAGTGACAGTCTAAGGGAGAAAACAATAAAATATATATTCAGTAACTGGGATGACTTCCCCCCACACACAAGAATTTAAGGACAAAAGAATGAATTCTACACTCATTTTCAATTCAAAGGGTGCTACTTCCCAACTCATGTCATATAATCAGTTATTTCTCCTTACCAAATCAACTTAGAACAGTTGCCTGGGGTGAGGGTAGGAGGTGATTAGAAAGAGGGGCGTGAAGGAATTTCCTGGAGGGAAAAAAATGGTTCTTTGTTTTAACCAGGGTGTTGGTTACATGATTTATTCATTTGTAAAAACGCGTAAACTGTAGACTTAAGATCTGTGCATTTTACTGCATATAAATTACATCTCAATTTCAAAATAGAAAAATTAAGCCAGTGATGTGGCATACTTGGCTCATGTCCATATGCGACACTGTGTTGAAAAGAAATTCATCTGAAAAGGAAAAATAACACCCCAGTGAGAAGGCAGACACATGCTGCAAACACAGGCTAAGGAAAATGGAGAGAAAAGCAGCAGACATTGTTAACGGGCTGAGAGGGGATATTTCCCATTGCGTGGAGCTGAGCCTCTTCTGTAATGTGCTTAATTACTTCTAATTGTGCAGTCAACTAATTACAGTTATTAGTCTTGCTTTAGTTGAACAGGCCTGGGAATCCCTTGAAGTCATTCTCTTAGCAGGACTGGGCTGGATTTTCCAGAGTCTGGTGACCTCCTGAGATTGTGGCCTGCGATGGTGTATCCCTGTTGCCACTGGGTGTTTGGGGCTGTGGGATCAATCTTGGGGCCAGTGAGTCATGTGTGTCAGGCCTCTGAGCACAGTGAGGACACTTGTGGACTCTACACCCCGCACTGTTCTCTCCAATGCTATTCTCTCTCCACCATTCTTGCCAACTCAGCCTTGTCTAAGTCCAAATTACACATTTTGCAAACAAACAGGATTATTTGCTGTGGCACTGTTTGCAATAGCAAAAGAATTGAAACGGTCCTCATGCCCATCAGTAGAAGACTGGTTAAATAAATTATGGTTTGTACGCACAACGTAATACTGAAAAAAAAAATGAAGAAGCTCTCATGTGCAAATTTGGAAAGAACTCTAAGCTATGTAATTAAAAGGAAAAATAAACACAGTAGAGTATGACCATTGTGTAAAATAGAAGAGTGTATATTTGTATTTGCTTATACCTATATGTATAGAGAAACGTTGTAAAGAGACAAGAAGCTTAAGAGTGGTTACATGTGTTCTGGGACAGTGTGTGGGGGCATTGGGGTTGGGAAGTGGGTGGGAGAGAGATGGAATAGGGGGAGACTTTTCACTGCAAACCTTTAAAACTAGTTTTTAAAAAATTGTGAATGTATTACCTAATGAAAGATTGAAATCAATTAAATATTCAAAAGTTTTGAAAAACAGGAAAAGGTTTTAGGGCAAAGGGGACCCCCAGTGATCACTTAATCTACAGTGGTTTCTGAAGGTGTCATGGGACTCGTGTACTTAAAACAGTATAAACATGCCCTGTTATTTGTTTGTTTGCTTATTTATTATAAATTGAAGGTTTGTGGCAACCTGTGTCAAGCAAGTTGAAAACCTAGAAAGGATTCACCATTCTAGATGCCATTAAAGAATATGCATGCTTAATGGGAAGAGGTCAAAATATCAACATTAACAGTTTGGAAGAAGTTGATTCTAACCCTCATGGGTGACTTTGAGAGGTTCACGACTCAAGTGGAGGAGGTCACTGCAGATGTGGTGGACAGAGCAGGAATGAGAAACGGAGCCTGAAGATGTGACTGAATTGTTGCAACTTCATGACAAAACTATAACGGATGAGGACTTGCTTCTTACGGATTTGCAAAGAATGGGGGTCTCTTGAGATGGAATCTACTCCTGGGGAAGATGCTATGAAGGTTGTTGAAATGACAATAAAGGAGTTAAAATACTACCTAAACTTAGTTGATAAAGCAGTGGCAGGGTTTGAGAAGACCAACTCCATTTTGAAAGTTCTACTGTGGATAAAATGCTATCAAACAGCATTGCATCCTATCGAGAAATAGTTCATGAAAGCTATTAGATGCAGCAAACTTCATTGTCTTATTTTCATAAGTTGCCACAGCCACTCCAACCTTCAGCAACCCCCACCCTATCAGTCAGCAGCCGTCAACATCTAGGGAAGACCAGCAAAAAGATTGACTTGCTGAAGGCCGAGATGATGGTTAGCATTTTTTAAGCAATAAAGTATTTTTTTAACTAAGGTAGGTATATTGTATTTTTCAACAACATGCTATTATGCACTTAACAGACTACAGTACACTCTAAACATAACTTTTATATGCACTGGGAATCCAAAAAATTCACAACTCACTTTATTGCGGTGGTCTGGAGGTGAAATGCAATATGTCTGGGGTATGCCTGTATAATAAATGCCCCCCTTTCCCGTTTCAGGCATCAATATAGAACCACTTTTAATTTTCCTTAGCATTAAACAAGTTTCAGAGGGAGGTGCGGGGATGGGTGAAAGAGGTACAGGGGAATATAGTCCATAATATTGTAATAACTTTTCAAGGTGACAGATGGTTACTAGACTAAGTGTGGTGATCATATCGTAAGGTATATATTAAGTTGGTGCAAAAGTAATTGCGGTTTTGCCATTGTTTTAACCTGTTAAGCCGCAATTATTTTGCACCAACCTAATACATGTCACTATATTGTACACCTGAAAGTGATATAATGTATGCCAACTATACCTACATTCAAAAACAAAGTTTCCAAAAAGTTAAACGTTAATTCCAAAACAGTATCAGAGGAAAGGAAAACCCTGTGGCTTGAGAAGTTTTATGAAAAACTCAGTATATTGTTCTTTTTTCCACAAGCTCCACTAACAACCTTGGACAGAGCTGCAGACCAGCCTTTAGTAAACACCCCAGGGGACATTGTCAGACGGACTTCGGCTCAGATCTGAATTCTCTGGCTAAGGAGAAGTGATGTGTGGGAAATCTGGAGGAGGGAGGCCGTTTCTCCTAGGGTAGTTCTCCGTGTTAAGGGGTTCACTTGGGAGGTGGTTGCCCTCACGGTTCCTTCCACGTGCTGGCCTGTCTCCTTGCCCCACCCTCCACGAGGAGACTGGCAGGCAAGGACAAACGACTGGGTTCTCCAAGCCCAGCGGGGAGTTGCATGCTCCGTGGGCCACCTCCTCGGTGCCCCTACCAGGGGGCACGGGCTGCACGGCCCCGGTCTCCGCGAGCTTCCTGTTCTGGGGATGGGGCCCACAGTCAATACGGTTAGCTTGAGGAGAAAGGGCAAGTAGGCGGGGCCGGGACGCCAGAGGTGGAAACACCAACGGCTTGACCTGCAGCACTTGCCCCTTCTGCGAGCGCCAGGTGGGGCAGCTGGGAGGGGCCCCGGGCGGTGACATCTAAGCGGGCACAAGACAGGCCTCGCCCCGTGACCAAAGCCGCGCCCGGAGGCTCGGCGAGCACCTGCAAGAAGGTGACGGCAAAAAACTGGCCACCGCGAACACGGCCGTCGCCTGATCGCGAGGAAGGGCCGGTTCTTGGGACGCATGCACGCCGGGCCCCGATCCCCACAGTCGCACCTCCGGCGCAGTCTTTCCTATCTAGGGGAAAGGGCAGCGGGGAGGGCAGAAAGGGACGGCCCTGCGTGCTGGGGCGGCCTCCCATTGGCTGTTCTCGTTCCGCCCTCGGTCCCGATTGGCCATGGACTGAGCACACGGGCTGAGCACACGGGCCGAGCACGCTCCCAGCGGCGTTCAGTCGGCGGCGGCGGCGGCGCAGCCAATGGGAGCGACCGGTGGGGCGGGGCCGACGGCTCAGGGTCTCCCGGCGCGGACGAGTTGGTAAACAGATCCGGAGCGCGTGTCGGGCGCCAGCGGTGCGGCGAGTTCTCTGAGGCGGCGCGAAGGTGACTGCGGATCCCAGCTTCCTGCCCCGGGGTAAGGCTGCCGCCAGCTGCATGCCCGGAGCGCCGTCTGCTTGCGGCTGGGGCTGGGCTCTGACCCTCCCGGGGCCCTTCTTGCATCCTCCTCAAGTAACAGCGCGGCTTTTCCTTTGCAACTCGCGCGGCCGTGAGCTCCGGGACGCGGTGTGCGCGTCACGAGATGCAGGGTCGGAGCCTGCAGATGTCGCCCACCCACCTCAGCTCGCGGGGCCTGCCTCAGAGAGGGGACGAGAGCCGTGGCCAGAGCCCGGGGGCGCGCCGAGCAGCTTCGGTGACCCGCCGCCAGATGCCTTGTTTCTTGGTCGCCAAGACGGCTTTTCTGCCTCTTTTTCTCATGATAATATTTTTCTTCACTCCCAGACCCCTTTGCACTGTCTCAGGGGCTTTAACTGCCCCTGGCTGCAGGTTTGTGTCAGAGCTTTAACGCCCTTGGCCTGACCCAGCTGTTGGGTTTCACAGGTGGGGGTTTTGAGTGAACTTGAAAAAACAGGCCCTTATTGGTCGTTCGCTTTGCTTTGGCCCTTCCTGCTGCTTCTGGAAACATTGGGGGACTTGTGAGTGGTTCGGGCTCAATTGCTTATACTGGTTCTTTTCCTTAGCTTCCCTGCACCTCTGCCAAACGCAGGCCCGTTCTCCCCTGCGCCTTGGGGGAGGAGGAATATTGCAGGGGCCAAGTCTGGGTGCAGGGGTATCAGCTTCTGTGCAGCCTCTCAGCCTGGGTTGGGCCTGCAGCCCATTGGAAAACTTGTCCACACTCAACTGCTCACTGGGGCCATGGGTGTGCGTGACAGAAGACGGAGGAGCTGGGCATGCCAGGCCTGCATCGGTGCCAAAGGATTTGAGTATGCATTGATGCCAGCCTGCCAGTTGTCCTGCTGTGGGTGCACCCATCCGGGGTCATCCTGGTAGGAAGGCCCTTCTCCTGAGAAAAGACAAAGTGGGGGCTGGTGGTTCAGGGGAGCAACATCTTTTAAGACTCCTGTGATGGTGTTGGGCATTTTTGTTCAGCCTTGCAAATAATGCAGACAATGCAGGGTGGTTATAATTTTCGACCTGACCTGAGACAACTCAGAAAAAAAAAAGTGAAGCAGGTGCTTTCCAGTGTGTCATCTAAGACAGTGTTTCTCAGCCTCCACACCGTCAACATTTTGGACTGGATAATTCTTTGTTGGGGGTGGGGCAGCTGACCTGTGCATTGTAGGACGGGTAACAGCATCCCTGGCCTGTATCCATTAGATGCTAGTAGTCGCCACTCCTCTTCCCCATTAGTTGTGACAACCAGAAATATCTGCGAGAGCAAAGAATTGCCCTTGGTTGAGAACCACTGAGGTTCTCTAAAAGAGTCTTCCCAGGATGCCAGAGGCCTCCTGGTACCTGCCCCATGAGTAGTTGAGAGGTTTAGGAAGAGTAGTGTTGCGTCCCCTGCCCTAAATTAGTGACAGAAGCCCTGGAGATTGGGCTGTAAAAGAGACCCCACCTGTGCACCTGGGGGAAAAGGAGAGCAATGGGCGGTAGAAACTTATGGGCATTTACTGTGCCTTCTGCGTGCATGGCAGTGCCAGGCTGGGTCCAGAGTGCAAAAGAAGTGGAAGATTGGTGGTTTCTGTGTTTGGGGATTTTGCAAGACTATGGGAATATGCATATGAAATAACCATGGGGCAGTTTTTAAATAGTGGGCAAACAAGTTTAAGCTGTCTGAGTGCTAGCAGAAAGGCTAACTCAGTTATCCACAGGTGGCTTTTCCAAGGTGATGCTTTACTTATCCTTACTTTTGGGGGAGACATCTCTTGTGTATTGTGATGTGGGAGGGGGTAGGGCCTGCATCTGCAGGGAGGGGGGTGTCTGGCTGCATTGCAAACATATGTACAGGTCTATATGTACCGTGTGCCCCTCCGTGGGAGCAGCATGGACACATGTATCATTTGTGGAGTTCTTTTATGGCTGATCAAAGCATCAGTGTCAAAGATGTGAGCTATTTCTTTTCGTACAGAGAAAGATGCTTTACTTCTGAGTCTGGATTTTGCCTTCAGTATAACCTGGAATTTATGCCCCCTACTTCTAAGTCCCAAACGGATGGGGGTGCAGAAAAGCTGAAAAACTGATTATTGTACAGGGCACGGAAAAACTTCCCAAGCACCTACCATGAATTTCCCTTTCTTGTTGTTAATCAGTCGGTCCTGTGGGGATGTATCAGGATTTTCCCATAACATTCCTTGGTCAGTTAGGGGGTCTTTTGGGGGGCCCTTTGTTGCCTGTAGAAAAGGCTCTGGATGGGAGGTCGCTTCTCCTTTCTCAAAAAGAAGTTTTGAGAAGTCTATTATTGGGAAGCTCCAAACTTGGCAGGATAACTTTCCATCAAGAGCCGTGGACACTGAGTCATTATCTTTGTCAGTTGAAACAAGAGCTGTGTGCAGAATTAGACAGGAATATTTAGATAGAGAGTTGTCTTGATCTGACTGTGGCATCTAGAAATAGTTCCAGCATTCCTGCTGAACGGCAGCCAGGCACTTGGGAGAGCCAGTGGAAAGGGGGGCTGGTGGGAGTGGGGGAGTGCGAGGTCCTGCTCCTTGTGGAGTTGCACCTATGGGATGGGTGGGTCTGCTGGCCCTGGGGCAGGACCAGGGGCCCCGAGTGAGATGCATCTGAGTGGGATGTGAGAGGGAGCTTCTGCCCGCGTGTTGCAAACCCAGGTGGTACGGGGTTTATTGGCCTGACCACAAGCATGTTGTTTGTTGTTGGGGTTATAGGCTCCTGAGCTGTTGACCCTTAGCTTTGAAGTCAGTGCCCCACAGAATATTGAAAGTTGGAAATGACCCTGAAAGCTCTTTTTCTTCTTCATACTTAGGTGGGATTTATTTTTAGTGTGTGCATGTAGAGAAGGACTTAGGAAACCGCTGAATGTTTTCACTCAAATTCCCATTTCAGGTTATTGTAGAATCTGTTGTAGTTGAAGAGTGACTGATTTCTTGTGTCGAGCGCCTCGACTTGCTTTTTCTTTCTTTTTTTTTTTAAATATCCTCCCATTCCCATCTGGGCAGGAGGAGAGGAGCAGCATCTGGTCCAAACCTGGGAAACTTTGTGCCTTAAAGGTTGGTGTCCCTGCACATCGCGCCCCTGAAGAAAAGCCCGCTCTCGGATTGTGGGTGGATCTGGCTGTTTACTCCTCACTGAACAAATATTGATTACCTGCTTTGAACATGGCATTGGGTCCCTGACCTCAGGGAATTGTAGCAAGGGATGTGCAGATGCCACTTTACTGTCCTCAGTGTGGTTTGGATGAGGGACTCTGGGTCAGACCACTTCTAACTGGTGGAAACCATGGAGGCTTCTTGGAGGGGAAGGCTTGGTAACGGGGCCTCTGAGGAAGAGGCAGGGGTTTGGAGGGGTGAGGGGCCAGGGCTCCCCAGACTCGCTGTGGTGAAGGAGCAAGTTTTATTTTTTTCCCCAATTTGTTGCAGACCAGTGCTTTTGCAAGACACAGCACGAACTTCATGGCAATGGCTCCGGAAGTTTCTAAGTGCATAGTCCTGTTATGAGGGATGACAGTACCAGTCCAGGGGCCACTCTGAGTGGCGCTGGCCCAGGCAGTGCGCTCAGGGAGGCATTGAGGTAGGTGAGTATCTGGGGGTGGGGCTGAGAGCAGTCTGGCTGGAGGGTCAGGAGTGTGAGGGGAGCAATGGGGGGCTGGGGTAGGGAGCAGATTGGGGTGAGTCCCCCCATTTCCTGTTGAAGCAGACTTTGTGATCTGCCCCTAGTTTAGGTCAGTCTGAGCAGCATTGCTGCTAGCTGTGCTTCTGGGGCATTTTATCTCAGCAGTGGGGTTACAGGGTCAGGAAGGCTGGCATAGCACTCCTGGTAATTTTCAGCTGACAATTCAGTTCAGGCCACAAAGGGTTCCCTGAGCACCCACGACTCACTCACTAGCCCAGCTGCAGCCTGGAGGGCCCTGGGAGAGAGAGGGAGGCAGCTCCTTGCCCTGGTATGTGCACCATTGGCCATGGAGACAGCGTGGGTTCAGGGCTGACTGCTCAGGATCCCTGAGGTCCTCTGCTGTGGGAGTCCAGGGTGGAGTGAGTGTTTGAAAAGGGCCAGGAAAGCCGCTTCCTGTGCTGGGAGGCCTAGGAGCTGGAGCCTGAAGGCTGAGCAAGGTTTCCTTGGGCAAGAAAAGCGCTGGGGCTGGAGCTGGAGCAGGGGCAAAGGCCTCGCCAGCCAGGTGGGCGTTGCCATGGGGAGGGCACTTGGGCGGGTAGGTGTGCAGAGGGTCAAAGGCAGGTCAGGGTGGCCAGGGAGGGAGCCCAGTGAGGTGCTTTGTGAGAAGTGGGGGCGGCCTGAGTCCTAGGTGCTGGGTGGGGCACGGAGTCAAGAGAATGTAAATCTACACAGGTAAAATTTCTAGACTGAGTGACTGGCCACCAGGCTGAGATTTCTAGTTGGCGGGAGGAGCTGTTGGGGGTGAAGGTGGTGTCACTGCTGAAACAGGTGCAGGAGGAGGAGGCGGAGGAGGTCTGGGGAAAGACGGTGAAGTTAGTTTTAGACACATAGGGGTTGAGGGCCTGTGGGATTTTTTCCATCCTCTTTTATTAAGACATAATTTCCATACAGTAAAGTCACCCTTTCTGGTGTGCGGTTGTACAGTTTGACAAATACGTATAGTCATGTTACCATCACCACAGTCAAGGTACAGGACAGTTCCCCCACCCCCCACATTCCCCGTGCCCTTCCATCGGTACCTGTGGGACTTCGAGGGGTGGTGTGGTGTGTGCGCGTATAACTGGGTTTGTTCCAGAATTTATTCAGTAGTTGAATGGCCTGCGTGGCCCGAGAACAGGGACGCACAGAACTGGGGGAGCTGTCATCCCACGGGGAGGCTGAAGCAGCCTGGGGGGACGGGGTAGATAAGCAGGGAGGTTGGGGGTCAGGACCAGGCCTGGGGACTGTGCTGTGCAGTACGTGGAGAAAGGGGACTCTGCTGGCAGAGGAAGCTGAGATGAGGGGGCGAGAGTGAATCCTGGACCCAAGGAGAGGATTTTAGGGGAGTACTGTGGCGCCAGCAGGAAACGAGGAGGAGGGTGGTGTTGGGGAGGACTCAGGTGAACCGGGCCCTCGGGGGCTGTTGGAGGGGTACAGCCGGCTGGAGGTGTGTGCTACCAGAGAGGGGAGGATGGTGCCTGTATCCTTGGGAGACGTTAGCCAGGAGGAGGCTAAAGGAGCAGCAGAGTCACCTGGAGGGTTTTTATATTCCGTGTGGGAAAGCCGAGAGTGGGTGTGTGGGCTTGAGGGGGGAAGATGTGCGGAAGGAGAGATTGTGGACGAAAGAAAAAAGCAGGGCAAGGGCAAGGTCCTAGTGGGGGGAGGGGTGTCAGTGTGGGGACTTGATGGGACAGGAGACGAGAGGCTGGGGAAGGCCTGAGATGCGCGCCGAGGGTTTGAGGGTGCTCTCATCCGATCGCCTCGTTTTGGGGAGGAAGTCAGCCATACAGTGAGTGAAGCCCTTTGCTTGATGTGAGAGGGGCAGGGTGCGCTGGGGGTGGTGCTGGAAGAGAGAGCCAGGCTGCTGTCCTGCCTTGGGTACCATCGAGGTCCTGCTGCTGCCAGCCTCCAAGGAGCTGGTTGTTCGTGGTGTGTGAGTGTAAGCGTGGAAGAGAGGCGGGGAGGTGTTTCCTGGTTGTATGAGGAGGGGCCAGCCCCTTCCTCGCTTGCTACCTCGGTACCGTCCTGCTGGATTTTCCCAGGGGTGCGTTTCCTGAGACAGGTGCTGTGTGATGTCTACCTCCACGCCTCAGACGCAGGTCTGCCGCTCCCCACTCGCTGTGTTTATAGAATGTCTAAAAGGGTCAGTTTGTGTTCTTTTAAGCATTATTCTTTCTAGATGCCGTTAAATCCCGGTTTTCAGAACAGCCCTGTGCTGTGCTCTCTTTGTTGACCTTCTACATGTACTCGAGGGATAAACGGCCGTGTCCTAATCTCTAGAAACGGGTGATCATTTAGGTCAACTGCCTCATTTCACGCCTGAGGAAATGAGGAAACGCAGGCCCAAAGAGAGGAACTGGGGTGCCCAAGGTTACACGTGGCTGGTGCCTGGAGCGGGCCTCGCTGCCCTCATCACGGTCCTCATGCTGTCCAGGAGCCAGAGGGCTTGGTGGCAATATTACTGCCCTCCGCTGGGCGGGATGCGAGGTCCCGGGGACTGTTCACACACACCGAACTTCTAAGCCCTGTGTGTGTTCTCTGCCTGGCGCATTTTCTCTTTGGCACCGATTCTGGCTCAGAGGAGGCTGAAGGTAAGAACAGATTGCCCTGTGACCCGCGGTGGTTACTGTTTGACAGGTGCTGGAGCAAACATCTCCTGTCTTTCTGAGATAAAAAAAAAAAAAAAAAAGGTGTGTGACTTCTACTCCCTAAGGTGTTTACAGCCAACGTGTGGTAAAGTGGGGGGCCAGACGGGTCAGATCCGCCACGTTTCCTGTTCCAGCCAGCGTGGAACTCATCGTTAGTGGGCCAGGCCCACTGTCGTTTTCCCCTCTTCCCTCTCAGTCCTTTTATAAGCAAGAAGTGGGGTAACATAGAGGAAGCAGCAGGGGTGCTGCATCCTGTTGGGGCACCCCCACTCCTGGCGCCCGAGTGTGCACCGAGCAGGCAGCCTTGGCACCGACCTGGCCCTGCGCCTATGAAAGCTGCCCTTCCTCCATTAAAACAGGGGTGTTCCTGCTACCACCATGTCTGGCTGTGTGCATGGTGCGGGGAGGGGGGGGTTCTCAGGGTGGCTGTGGGCAGAAAGAACATTTCCCTATGCCCAGCAGAGTTCTGGGTTCTAGATAAGTTAGGGAGCACCCTGAATGCATACGGGTATTAAACTCCTGGTGTGGACAAGGCACCGTGCCAGACCTGTGGGGAGTATAGAACTGGGGGAGGGAGGTCCCCTCTCTCCAGAACCCTGGTAGCTGCGGAGCGTTCCAGAAGGGGAAGTTTGGCCAGATGGCCTTTGAGATCCCAGCCAGCTCCGGGATTGTTATGACTCTTAATTTTTTGCAGCCAGGTGGACACACTTGTCAGGGCATGGACCTTGCTGTGTCCCCGGGAGTGACTATTGATTTTTAAACAATGTTATTGATCTGGGGGCAGGTTTCTTATCTCTCAGCTTCCTAGGCAGTGAGGGGAAAGGACTTGAGCCTGGCGCCAGACGGGCACGGACGGTCCAGCACCTGACAGCTTGGTGGCTTAGAGGAGACTTCTTCACCTGGCAGAGCTTTAGCTCATCAGCGAACGGGGACAGTCATATCTCACAGGGTTGCCGTAGGGTTGGGAGTAATATAAAGGGACAGGCACACAGGGAATGATGCATGGTAGCTGACTGTTCTGGTTATTAATTCTATTTCACTGAACTATTAAACCTGAAGTGAGCATGTTAGGAAAGAGTAAGAATGTGAAAACCCATGAGATGCGTCTTGCGGGTAGAGGCTGTTGGTTGGACACCGCGGTACAGCCTGTGCCCAGTGTCTGGCACGTAATAAACGCTTGGTAATGGTTCGAATGTGGAGCCGAGCTTGGGAAAGAGGCTTACAGGAGAATGGGGCATATTTATACTGAATGCCAGCAGGACTCTGTCATCAAGAACAAGAATGTTTTGAGCGCCCGTGGATGTTTCAGCCGCTGGCACAACGCCTGGCACTTGGTTGGCACTCAGCACTGTTTGTGGGGTGACCAAACTAAGTTATTTTAGAGAAATGAGCTGGAAATTATTCTAGCATATAGCCCCGATTCCCAACCCAACGATTTGCCTTTTTTCAAAATAGCCACTGTATTAGTTTCCTATTGGTGCTCTAATGCTGTAACCAATTACAAGCCTAGTGGCTTAAAACACCACAAGTTTATTCTTTTACAGTTTTGCGGGTCAGAAGCCTAAAATGAGTCTCCCTGGGCTAAAACCAAGGTGTCAGCAGGGCCGGTTCTTTCTGGAGGCTCTGTCTCCCCACCTTTTCCAGGCTCTGGGGGCGGCTCGCATCCCTGGGTCCCTCCTCACAGCTGCACCCCCCAACCTCGGCTTCTCTCATGTCTCCTCCTGACTCGGATCCCCTGCCTTTCTCCTAAGGACCCTGTGATTACACTGGGCCCACATGGGTAATCCCCTCACCTGAAGATCGTTAACTTAATCCCACCTGCAAAGCCCCTTTAACAGGTTCACAGGTTCTGGGAATTAGGATGTGAACATCTCTGGGTGGCTATTATTCAGCTTCCATAGCCAGCTGCAGTACTTTGGCCACATTTAAACACAAATGTTTAAATTTGTGATTTCACTTTAAAAGAAACTCTTCAACTACAGCTCCAGGGATCCTTATCCAGGGCCCTTATTCACCTTCCTGTGTGACAGTGCCGGTCACATTTGTCATTTGTGTGGTCAGGATCAGAGTGTGTGTGTGTGTGGGGGAATCAGAGGTGTCTGAGATGTGAGCCTCCCCACAAGGGCCTTAGTAGTTTGGCTGAAGCGAAACGACGTCGATGTGCCAAAGATAACTTTCGAAACGAAGGGATCTGACCAGTGGAAGACTTAGATGAGCTGATGTGAAGACTTAAATTCATGAGAACTGAGAGGCAAGTTAGGGCCTGATTAGAAAT